CCATTATTTCAGAAAGTTTTCACATTTTAGAAACAAATGGTCATCACATCCTCAAATGACATGAGGACTGAAAAACAACTGGAGTGCTTTGAGCATCTCAGGAAAGAAATGCTAAGACTGAACGGCCAGCCAATCACACAAAAGTAATATGTCACTGATCCCCTTCAAACAATCTGCTTAGGTTCCTTACTGGCAAAACTTGGATCATATTAAAACCCTGACTGTCCATGTGAACTCCACTGATCCAGTCTTCCATTGGGATAAATATACTGGGGATGTGATGCATAGACTTGAAATAACTACAGCTGCTTTTCAATGTTGGCACGATTGTTGTAACAAAGCACTCAGTAGATGCTCCCCAGACAATAAATGCCAGTGAAGTTGAACCCTGGAAAGATTCAAATAAATGAAGTTTATTTAAAGGAACCATTACTGACCAAACTGAGTCTACCCCAAATTCATTTGTTGACGTCTTAATCCCCAGTATCTCAGAATGTGGTAAGACCTTTAAAGAGGTCATTAAGTTGAGATCGTTAGGGTAGATCCTAATCCAATATGATAGGTGTTATATAACAAAAGGAAATTTGAACACAGACACACACAGGGAAAACCATGTGAAGGCACAGGGAGAAGATGGCCACCTGCAAACCAAGGCAAGAGGCCTGAGAAGAAACCAACCCTGCCAACACCTTGATCTTTGATTTCCAGCCTCTAGAACTGTGAGAAAATACAATTCTGTTGTTTAAGTCACTCAATCTGTGGTATTTCATTATGGCAGCCCTAGCAAACTAATACGGTAGCCAACTAAAGAATATCGAAAATGAAAAGAAATAAGAAAAGGAAGGATAATAGAAAATAAAAAGTCATTAAGTTTGACCATATGATCTGTTTGATAGTACTCATTTTTTTCTTTGTTTATGAGGGGAAGGTGATTGGGTTTATTTGTTGATGGAGGTACTGAGGATTGAACCAAGAACCTCGTGCATGCTAAGCATGCACTCTACTGCTTCAGCTATGCCCTCCTCCATGATCCATTTGAGAATAAATTATAACAGAAGACATATTCTTTTCTAGGAAGAAATGCATTCCC